TAATCCATGTAGATCAGCAGTTCTTTCCTCTAGAACTAATGTTTCATCGATCTCCAACTTCCCCTATAATCTTTTGAACTCGAGTTTCTGCAACTTGAATTTGCTTAAAACCTGACCTCCAACTTCAATTGCAAGGTTCTTCAAGTTGCATACATGGAAGGGCTCAATGGAACCACTAGAGTTATTGTATCGATAGGCTCCCCCATCTTCAGCTTGTCACAAGGTAGTCTCCTAGAAGCATGGATAGGACGAAGCACATGATATTTTTCAGTATCCCAACGACATTTTAGTATCTTATATGCACATAGGAGCTTCTCCTATAGCCCCTGACATAGCAACCAGGACTCCTTTCAAACCACAGCTAAAACTGATATCTTTGAAGAACATGAAAGTTCAACCTCCAATTTCAAGATCTTACCAGAATAATATACTCGAGGAGCCCATTATATGCATTTAAGATGCGCATGTAGGACATTGAGTTGTGGGACTTGGTTTCCGCATATTTATCTTCCATTCAAATAGTGCGGCATTTTTCTGGAAGACCCGATATTTTTGAAGAGATAAGATATTTTTTAACTGATCATTATTTGACTCTATAGAATCATTCAACCTTGCATGCTTAATGCCACAATTAGGACCTTCTGGTAACATATCAATAGACCTCCTTACACCGAGTTGCCTTTATCCCAACTGTCACTATCAAAATCTCTGGAGTTATCAATTGGAGGACTTAGTTATACTTTATCAACAAAACTTTCAAGTCCAATGTAAAATGAATGCGCTTCTTCTCAATGTGGTTGTTAACTACAAGGGTTTTCTACAACAGTTCGCAGACAGTTGTATCTGTTGTAGTCTTCCGGTATTTGTTACGATCTTCAGTCCCTACTCGCAAATATCATATTACATGTGTATCTATGTTCACAAGGGACTCAGCATCCGTGCAGCATGTCTACTATCACCACTGCTTATGGATGTTTGCAAGGAATATTATCATTTGCAAGCAAGTTTAGTACATCCGTTTGCATGTTGAGGTGGCCCACTAGTTGAGCTGTGTTCATCACTGGTTTCCTTATGCATGCTGCCTAGCAATACACATCTGTCCCTCTTGTTTGCAAGGTACTACCGATGTGAACGTTGTACATTGGTCATTTGATCTTTGCTAGGGATCAATGTATCTACTTGCCATCGAGTGATTGTTGACTGTAGGAAGGATCTCACATGTGATGCACGTTTCTCGTAGTAGATGGATTACCGTAGGCATGACAAATTCCTTACAATTACTTGCAAGTGTTCATATTCATAGCGAGCTCTTGATTCTGGCTTACATACGCACCGTCACATCAAAGATTCCCTACTTGTACGTCCATTACAATCTCCTTAGAAACACTTGTAGGGAACTCATTGCATCTGCATCATATCCACTATCATTATCTATAAATGATTTAGTGTGCTTATTTGCAGTAACATTAGTTTCATGCAAGCTGCATTTGCTTCAAAGTTTTCAAACATCTCTTAGTTGGCAATTCATTACATGATCGATCATTGCTTCTTGTATGATTGAATATGCCTTTCTCACATGTTGATGTTGATTGTAGGGCTTTGTTGCATTCATTTCTTGTTGTCTATCATCGCCTTTGTGTGAATTGTTGTGTATGCGACGGGTTCTTGATTCTCACCCGTAGGTGAACCGTCAGTGGATATTTGTACTCATCTGTATGTCGATATCGTGCACAAGGCTTACTTGCCTTGTAGTAGATACTGCAACGAGTTTCCTGCCATTGGGCTAAGAAAATCATGCATAGGTGGTTGCTTGCTGCACTGCAAGTGCCGAGGGCAGGGTTTCAGGATTATATCTTTGTGATCGAATCGACAGTGGTAATGTAGGTATGACAGCGACGATATAGGCCGAGGGCAGTGACAATGAAAAAACAAACGTACAAACATATATATTTTTTTTTTCTTTTTCTTCTTTTTCTTTCCTTTTTCTTTTTTTTCTCTTTTTTAAACTTTATTATTATTATTTTCATAATAATAATAATAATGAATGATGATTAATTTTAAATAATGATAATTAACTATAATTAATCATAAGTAATGATAATAAACTATAATTAACCATAATTAACTATAGTTAATTATAATTAATAATAATTAATTATAGTGGATGATAATTAACTATAATTAATTATAATTTAATCATAATTAACAGAATAAGAAATACCAAAATAATTTTGCCTGCTGTACAGGAGCTACTCAGCTCTGTTGAGCTCAGTTCGGTAGGTAGGGTGCGGCTGCGGATCGATCAGACGGGCAGTTCATGGATCTCGGATGAATGAGAGAATAGGAGGGAGGTTTGTGAAAATCAGAGGCTAGTGGTTGGCTACAAGCTTTAATCGGCCAGCAGGCTTGGTAGATCGGGAGATAGTGATGGGAGAGGGTGCGATTTGCGATTGGGAGGCTGGCGGATTGAAATGGAGTTGGGCATTTGCAGTAGGGAGGAGAAGTGGGTCGATGGCTGTATTGGGCTCCGACGTGGGTATCTGATTGGGGTGTATGAACGTAGGTGTGGAAAGTTGGGATCAGTACAAGAAGGGGGATATATGGCTGCAGGTTTCGAATAGAGGAAGGAGTATGCGAACCTTATTCGGGCTGATTGAGAGGAAAAGACGGGTGAGGGAATTCAGATATAACTGGGGGAGAATTTCGAACATAAATCGGACGGCTAGTTGGGGGCTCAATCAAATAGAAGTTGAAGGAGCTTGGTTGAAGTGAGGACCCTAGTTGGAGTTTGGTGGTTGAAGCCGAATTGATGGATTGATGATGAAGAAGGCAGGTGACAAGAGGTTCGGTTGTATGATTGAGATGAACAACATACTAAGCTTCGAATGCGAGTGGAAGAACAGAGACAGAAGCCTCGTTTCATTCTCATATTAACATCGAACTGAGATCGTGCATAAGTCGTGCGGACATCGTGCGAAGCTCGCAATCGATGTGCCTAGTTCATGACCGACGTCCTAGGTGCAGGCGAGGTAAGGTATTCATTTGATTTCGACTGATTATTTTATTCTATTTTAATTCAAAATTAATAATAATATTCTTATATTATTATTATTTAATAACGAAAATCAGAATAAAATTTATCTTGAAAAAAGTGCAATTTCCTTAAAATTTATTTACCTCATCTCGAAATCCGCGTCGATTTCCTCGCTCAATTTTCATCAGGCAAAATTATAGTCTTTTTTAGATGACTCAAATGTCCCAAGCGCAACGGCGAAATTTGTTTTGCAATCGAACGTCATTTGGACAGCGCTATGGGTCGTTTTTGGGAGTCGATCACCGATTTTGAACGGTCTTGTCCGATTCGACTCTGAGGTGCTCCCTCTTATGTGAATTCGATGCTCTAGTCGCAATAACACAATCCGTTTAGCAATCAAAGGTCGTTTGACCATTTAAGTGACGTGTCGTGTCTGTCGACTGTCATTTTGAGTCGTCAGTTTCCCTCTTTTCGCGCATATTTGGGTTTAGGGGTCATTAGTTTGCCGTTGACAATCAATTTGGATTTATGCCGAGTAGATCTACTATGGAAGTTATACATTTATTGAGAGATTTGATGGAGAAGTATGGAGAGAATTAGGAGGATCAACATATGATTTTTATTGATTTAGAGAAAGCATATGATAGTTCCAAGAGAAGTGCAATAGAGAATTCTAGAAAAGAAAAAGGGTTAATTATATTTATATTCAAGTCATTAAGGATATGCATGCATAAGCTATTACTTGTGTTCAAACACAAGGTGGTTTGAGCAAGTATTTTCCTGTTTCAGTTGGATTACATCAAGGATCATCCCGAAGCCCATATCTTTTTGCTTTAGTCATTGATGTTCTCACTATACATTTGCAAGAAGTTGTACCTTGATGTATGCCTTTTTATGATGATATTCTTCTTGTTGATAAGACTATTGAGGAAGATGAAGGTAAACTTGAATTATGGAGATTAAACTTAGAGTCTAAAGGTTTTCGTTTCACTATATCTAAAATAATATATTTGGAGTATAATTTTAATAGTAATAGATCTAGTGGGAGATTTGTGACTTTAGGCAATGAAGTCATTAATAAGAGTACACATTTTAGATATCTTGGGTTTATTGTGCAGACTGATGGTGAAATAGACGGGGATTTAATTTGTAGAATTCAAGTTGGATGGTTGATGTGGAGGAATGCTTGTTGTGTGATAGAAATGCCCCCCTCAAACTGAAGGAAGAATTCTATAAGATAGTAGTGAGATCTATAATGCTATTTAGTGCATAATGTTGGCTATTAAAAGAGAAGCATAATATTAAGTGTTGCATAGATGAGGATGCTAAGGTGGATGAGTGGCTTTACTCTTAGAGTCAGAATACAAAACAAACATATACGTGAAAAGGTTGGAATAGCTCTAGTGGAAGATAAGATTAGAGAAAGTTTAAAACAGCGGCCTTTTGATGGCCCGATTGGGAGAGTAGATGTATTAGATTTGGCTTATGTTAAGAAAGGTAGATGTAGACTTTCAAAAACTTGGTTAGAAAATATTAGAAACCTTTTTTTATTAGATTTAAATGAGAATTTGACTCTTAACAGGACACAATGGAGAATAAAGAATTCATGTAGCAGACCCCACGTAGTGGGATCAAGGCTTGTTGTTGTATATAATATTATAATATCATGCTAAGTATTATTATCTATATTCTTAATATTATGCATGTCTAGTGTATGTGTCGTATTATATACATATCATTCAACATAATCCGATATCCACAGTAAAATGGTAAATTACAGGCAGCATACAGAGCAGAAAATCTGCTTGATGCAAGCTTTTAGGTAGAAATCTACCAGAGTAATTTCGATGATTATGTAAACATGGACAGGAGCCAAGAAAAAGAAGATTAGGAGATGCGCATCAAACGGTTATAACAACTGAAAATCACATGTGTAATGGATGGAAGTTCAGAAATTAGTACTCACCCAACAGAAGACCTATCAAGTTCTTGCTTAGAGAGTGTAATCGCGATTACTGACACAAGCCTAGTAGTTTCCAGTCTGACCAAGAACCATCAGCAATTTCAATCAGAAAATATGTGATAATCAAAAGAAGACATGGAAAGCTACAGTAGATGATCATCTACATCTTTAGGCATGCACTTGCAACGTAAGATATAAGATCCACTTACGGAAGTAGGCCTTCCTCTAAAGGCACCCATGAATCAGTAATGAATGTGGATCCTATTTTAGTATCTTGATGAAGACCAGCAACCCTTCTCTACAATGCCATAGCATAAATATAGAATATCATTAAATCAGCTGACGTATTTAGCTTCCATAATCTCAACACAACATAATGATTGAAAGACCTGATAATCCCAAGGAAGAAATTCAAATGAAAATTGTTTATGATTTACCTTAATTAGCTCCACAATCAAGACAGTCTTATTAATAGCTCTCCCCATTGCCTTGATGACAATTTTATTCGAATCTTTGTCCTTAAAAATCAATGGAGAAATAGCCATTAGAACATCAAATCAAAACAATGGAAAATTACACCATGAGATGCACAACCATGTTAATAGAAAGTTAATACAAAAATCAACGCACTGCCGAAAAATTCCCAAAGCATGATTTTGATAAAATCCATCTTGGACTTACCATTTGGTAAAAAAACTGTAATCTTTCATTTTCCTGAAGTCAAATCAATGAATAAAAAAGAAAAAAAAAAAACTTTTACTGCAGATGATTCCATCAATAATAAATTTTAGTCAACTAGTTTCCTTTTAAATGCTAATGCATTATTATAACAACTCATAAATCTTTAAGAGTTACAACCTTAGCCTTAAATGACCAAAGAATATTGGAAAGAGGGGAACATAGGAAATTAATAAATTTCATAAAGAAAGCTCTAAGCATAGCATAATTTTCCTTAAGGGATCACAAGCCACTTTAATATCCAGCAAAAAGCACAAGCAAAACTTTCTTCTAAAGATCATTTGACAAAATGGAAACCCCACCCTTTATTTAACGTGACTAAATGTGGATTGCTTATCCATCAATTTAACACATAATTGTATGATGGGTCAATTTAGTTCATCACAACAAAGGGCCCAGAGACCAAAACATTGGACTGAATAGTCAAAAAACTTTCACATAAATGCCCAGATGCCAACTAGGAAGGAGAAGACACCATAAAGTTCCAAATTTTATAAATCAAGAATGACACTAACTTCATGGCCCAAGGCAGATCACACAGCTCACTTTGATTTGTTAGTTGGGAGCTTTGGCTATCAAAAGCTCTTCGAAACTTACGTAGGTGACGTGGGTGTGAATTTGTCTTAATTGGTCCAAATGTTCAAAAAAAAGAAGAAGAAAAACTTCACAGCCCGCACAAATTCCACAACAAACGAATATACAAAAAAACATATGAATAGTAACCCAAAACCAAACATAAAAAATTAGGAAACAAGGCTACATATGGCTAATTAAAAAAAAAAAAAAAAGAACGTTAACGTAAGACGAATGTAGAAGGAAATGTATACCAGAAGCAAGTTAGTGGCATAAGTGATATAACCGCGCATCCTTCCCATAGAAGTTATACGAATTTCATTCTCCTTAGAAGGCGAAACTTCCCTGGGCTTCAGCACCCTCTGATACCGATCCATCTTCTCTTCGCAAAACCTGAACGAGAATTCTCAATTTTTAAAACAGCCCGTCTGTTGACGAAACGCAAATGCATATTTTTACAAAATAAATAAATAAATAAAACTTGCACAACCACCCTCCCTCTCCTCTCCATCCCACCTCGCACTTGAAATCTAAAAATTTCGAACGCAAATAAGTTATTTCTTTAAGCAGATTCAAACCCCTCGACTAGATGTGACAAAATCGAAAACCACCAAAAACAAAAGAACTCTCCATCAAGATAACCAATACCAAAGAGAAATCACTCGGCCGTCAATCTAAATCACTTTAAACCAAGCCAATTGAAGGAGAACTACAATGAGGGGAAGAACGAGTGTGCAAAATCCAAAGAAGACTGACTATAATGAAGAGAATTGAGGGGATGGCTCATACACTGACACCAATGAGGTCGGAAGGGAAGAAAATTAGGTATCCAATATGAGAAAATTTGATCCTTGCCCTGCTCCGCCCTGTACCTTGGCTGCGTAATAATTTTCGGCCCTGAATTCTGCTCCCGCAACGGCTTCACTTCATAATCCGCTTCGAAGCGAAATGGTCTTCTTCTTCGGCAGGGGTTTGTTTCATTACGTGGCGAGAATTTGAGCAGTTTACGGTCAAGAATGATTCTGCTCGATCGTTGCACGCAAAATCGTAATTTTTTTTAGCATATGATGCGCGGCTCTGCGGGTTGCCCAGATTGACGGCTTAGTACAAAATTTTTATGCCCAAGAAATTTTTTTTTACATTTTTTATCATCTAAATCTATTCACACCTATAAAAATTAGGGGTTTTTATATACATACCACTTTATACCTTATATTTTACATATCTAACACCTAAAACTTAAATATTACACAACAACAACTCAAATCCAAATTTAACCTCATATCTGCCATTCCGTCAAAAACATGACTCACTCCGTCTCCGTCATTATTTCTGCTTTAGATCTCCAGTGTGAGTTTGTATTTCGGTAGCCCTAAAAATCCAGCGTGAGTTTTTCCGCCGAAGCTTTTCTTATTTACGATCAATATCTTCTGGAGTCTTTCTAACTGATCTTTACATCAGTTGATGATTACGACGAACCTAATGGATAATGGATCCAACTCATACATCAAATCGTCTGCTGATGTAAATCGGTCATCCATCCATAAACAAAGCGTCACGACTGTTTCCAAAGGCACTAGTCATCTCCGGGGATCTCTCCGGCAGCAGAGCAAGATCTCCTCGATGTAGGAGGAGCGGCTGAGTTTAGGTTCGATTTTTCTGTAAATTCGTATGTATACTTCTTTTGATAAAAATCAGGTATTACTCCTTTGGGTAAATCTGCGATTTTGCTTTCGTTTTTCTATAGGAATAGCGGCTGAGTTTTATCTATTCTGTAACTTCTTTGATTAATAGAGTTCCATAAGTTTTTTCTATTCTTGTATAAGTTTTTTCTATCCTTGTATATCCGATTGCTAGCGGCAATTTTTTTTTTGTTACAGAATGTTTTATCATTTCTGAATGTCACGAATTATATCTGTTTTGCCACAGAAATGGTATTTTCCACTTTTTTTTTTGATACAGAATGTCATGAGTGTTATCTTTCCTAAAAATTCTCTGTTTTGTTACAGAAAAGGTTGGTTTATTCCAAAACGTTTCAAATGAGTTCTACGAATTCGTTCGCTACGAGAGATAGACGCCAACGATCTGAAGTTTATTGTCACTGTCACCTGAATTGTGTATTGTACACTTGCCACCGTGGACCTAATAATGGAAGAAAATTTTATAGGTGCGTGAATAATCGAACTGATGACGACTGCAGATACTTCAGATGGATAGATGAAGTTGAAAATGCATCTTTTGGTATAGACGATGAGCGCAAAGTGTTTGAGGCGAAGGTTATTAATATGCTTGAATGGATGATGTTCTTGATGAAAGTCTTCATTGTAATTGTTGTTGTTGATGTAATCATCCGTTTGTGTTTGTAACGTGTTGTGTCGACTGCAGAAAATGTTGTTTTTGTTATGTTCAGTTTTGTAACCTTTTATTGATGTGTTGGTCAAGGGTATTGTAAGTTGTTATGTTGAATTATTGATCATCTTTATGCATTTTTCTCTCCTGTTTGTCATTGTCAAGCAGCTCTTTGTTCAACTCAAAAAAACCTGCAGCTAGGAAATGTTAACTTCATGCTAAAAGGAATTTCGGACTTCATGCTGGACAGAATTCTGTATATCAATTTTGTAACCTTTTTAAGCTGTTTTATTACAATTGTATCAGTTTTGTATATCAGAATTTGGTATAAATTCAGAACAGCTCAAAAAGATTGTAGACAAACTTTAATCTGGCATATATGAATTGAACGTGCAGTCAATAACGTGCAGATTTGAATTTGAAAACGGACAAACTTTAATCAGGCAATTCATAACAGTCAATAACGTGCAGATAATGGCTTAATGGGAGAAGACGAAAGTTAATTTAACGTGCAGATATGAATTGAACGTGCAGATTTGTCAAGTCAGGCAATCAACCAACGTCATAGTTCTACAGCATTCAACTTAAATACATAAAATTTCTTTGAATCAAGAGAATGGCTAATTCATAACAGTCAATACTTTAAAGTTGTTGATATTGCTAGCCCAAAAAATCAGCGGTTACAGCTGCTATCTACTAGCTCAAAAAAATACAGCTGCTATATACTAGCTCAAAAAAGTTACAGCTGTTATGTACTAGCTCAAAAAGTCAAAACACGGACTTCTTAAAGAGCAGTGAATGCTATCAATCCTAAAATCCAATCACATATGAGAACTCGAAATCTTCAAGTTGATGATCCTCTCCATTCCGTCTGCTTGGCAACTTTGTCCGGCTTCTTCGTCCAACTTCTGTACTCAAATTGTCCTTGTTAATATTATTTCGCAATGGATTTTTGCAAGTACTCCTATGATGGCCCCATAAACCACATCTGCCACACCTATGTGACCTCTTATCTTGCTCCAAGAAATTTAACAATCTTTTTTTCCTAGGTCTTCCTCTTGCCTACAAGTACTAGGTACACCAACATGTTCCGTATTCTCTGCTACTTGCCAAAGATCCTTTCCGGGTAATGTGAAAATTGCCCCTTCATATGCTAGTTTGTACCTACACCATAGGCAATATGATAAATCAGCGGTTATTATATGCATATGAAGGAGTTCTGTTGCTAATGTTGGAACCCATTTGTAGTTGTCATCAACTGAACCAAATAAAGCATCACGGGCTTCCTCTCTAGCCCTCCAAAGCTTCATATAAGGTAACGATAATCCATACTCTTTTTCTAGACTACTATTTATTTCTTTTGGTGGGATATCTGGGTACCTCTTTACCATTTCCTGTATCTCGTTGGCAACCCAAGCAGATGTTGCCAGCCTATTCCCAGCTCGATTTATACCAGGACATGTGTGTACTCCATCTAGTCTCCTAACTTGGAAAGATTGAGTGTCTTCACATAAAGAAGCTCGAATTCTCCATTCACAACCTTGATAGGAACAAGTCGCAATCACACGTTTCTTATCACTGGCTTTTATTCGAACCCCAAAGTTCTCCTTTATGGCAACTGATCGAAGAGCATTCTTGAAACTTTTTGCATCGTTGAAGAAGGTGTCAATACCTATATCTATAGCACTTGTATTATGAACACTTGAAATACAACCATTATGAATCACATAACATTCTGCCATATATTCAGCACTAACAACCCCCATGAGGTTTGTGTTTGATTGCTCTCTATCTACCTCTTCTACTGAGATAACTAACTTAGCACGAAAATTTTCACTTGAAACTTTAACCATCTCTGTCACGTCTACGTCAGTATTTATAATTTTGTATTCCTTCGGCGATGTTTTGTGAATGTGATAATGCATACTATATTTATACCCTTTGAGCCATTGACATATTTTAAGAATCTCTGTTTTGAGCATAAAAAGATTCATACTTCCTTTCTCAATTTTGACAGTCCTTTGTTTGCCACCATTATATTTCTTTCTAAAGTTGTCATTTCTATCAACCCAAAATCCTCCATATTTAATTGTAACAAAAAAATGCCCTTCCTTCTCTCCACATAAATCATCACAATCCATTCTACACAAAGTATGCCACACACTAGCAATTTCTTCTTCAAATATAACCTGAAATAATAAGGAAAAAGTAAAAAGAGGGAGATTAGCTACTGGACGGAACTTGACCAAATACAGCTCCACTGGACGGAACTTGTCCAAATACGGCTCTGCGACAAGACAAAACGGAAGAATCCCGTGCATTTTTTGGAACCAAATACAGCTATGAGGAGCTGTCTAGACCATTACCAAGAAAAGGAAGGCACGGGATTTACCTTACCTACAGCTTCTGTGCGACAAAGCAGAAGAAGGCAAAATCAGTCACAACACGTCGCGAAGCAAGCTTTTCTCCAGCCTTCGAGATTCCGCTGCTTTCGCGCGACATTTCATGGCAAGCGCGGGAAATTACGGGATGATGAAACGGAGTGAGCCCTATTTGGAACGGAGTGGTATATATGAGGTTAAGTTTGTGTTTGAGTTGTTGTTGTGTAATATTTAAGTTTTAGGTGTTA